TGTGAGATATTTCATTTGACTTGGATCCACAATCTACACCCATGGAAGCAGTAGTGAAGACATCAAACATCATATTGCACTGGGAAAATCTGCTGCAAAAGACTTCTTTAAAGTGTTGAAGTGCAAAGATGTCACTTTGAAGAGTAGGGTGAGCCTAACCCAAGCCATAGTATTTTCAATCACCTCATATGCATGTGAAAGCTGGACAATGAATAAGGAAGACCAAAGAAGAATTGATGCCTTTGAATTGTGGTGTTGGTGAAGAATACTGAAAATACCAATGACAACCAGAAGAATGAACAAATCTGTCCTGGAAGAAGTGCAGCTGGCATGCTCCTTGGAAGCGAGAATGGTCAGACTTCATCTCACTTACTTTGGTCATGTTGTCAGAAGGAATCAGTCCCTGGAGAAGGATATTATGCTTGGTAAAGTAGAAGGTCAGAGAAAAAGAGGAAGATGGATTGACACAGTGGCTACAATGACGAGCTCAAGCATAGCAAGGAATGTGAGTATGGTGCAGGACCAGGCAGTGTTTTGTTCTGTTGTACATAGGTTCGGTATGAGTGGGAATTGATTTGGTGACACCTAATGAACAACAAAAACAAAACTGTGAGAGAATATATTACTGTCTGTTAAAGCTATCAATTAGTGGTATTTCTGTTATAGCAGCACCAGATAACAAACACACGAGCCAAAGAAGTCAAATGCAATTGGGTGAAGAAAAAGCTAAGCAAATACTTATTTTCACCCAGTCTTCTTTCTGTGGAGTGGCTGGTGGGTTTGAACCACCAACCTTCTGGTTAGTAGTCAAATGCCTTAGGCACTACACCAGCAGAGCTCCATTTTTGTTTTAGTTTTTCAAAGCTGTGGAAGTAGATGTGCTCTTCCTTGGAAAATGCATAGAAGGAAATAAGAGAAAAGGAAACACTCCTAGGGACCACATATAATCACAGGATATGATGAAGATAAAAAAAAAATAAAAAACAGATTAAGAAAGAAAGAGTGGACATCAGAAGACAGACTGTAAAAGAAGAGCTACTCAATCTTAAGAGGCCAAGACAAATATGACTTTGGCTTAGGAAGGAATAAGTCATTACAGACTTTTGAAATCACAATGCTGCTTGAGTAGAGGAAATTACTCTCTAAAGAGTATAAAAACGAATTACATCAAAGAAGGCAAAGATACCAAATAGCACACTGAACTCTCGTCTTTTTTTGAAGATTGCATATTACCTGTTCAAAATTTGTTGAAGCTTTTTTTCCTTGCTCCAGATCAACTGCAGCTGCCATAAGTAAACATGTTTTCTGTGCAATCATAATTACTTTATCAGAAGGACAAAACTGGGACAGCTAATAAGAAATAACCAAAACATCAATGAATAGTGAGAATTCTTCCAGGTGAAGACAAACAATCAGAACAAAAATCAGCAACATCTTGTCTGAATGAGAAAATTCAGCTGGGAAAGTTCATTTCACCTTAACAATGATATAGATCGTAACGCTGATTTAGGGTTTTAATTTTAGTTTATTCCCCACTGTTTTTAGCACCTTCTCAGAGATAAAAAAGCTTCATTTCTTCAGTTTCCCTATTTATGCTGTCATTTGCCCCTGTGATTCTATGTAGTGATTTAGTTCTTGGTTTATGCTGTAATTTCTATGTGATTTTTCCCCTGGCAAAAAGATTTATCTTCCATATTGAATAGAGTTGAAATTTGTGCAAACATTGTCATGGTTGAAAGAGAAAATGCCAGATCTTGACAGACATTAGGCATAAGTCATAACCTCACTGTTAAATCTTGTCCTCTAGTTCTAGGAAATATATAAATAAATAAAAACCCCTCCCAGCTTTCTACTACAATAAAACGCTTGGGTTCTTCTTTCTGGCATTTAACCTTTATGTTGGAGGATTACAACTATTCAAAATGCTTACAGTTGAGATTCGTAAACACTAATCCCACTAGTGCTAATACAAATTTCAAAATTAAAGCTAATTTAGTTCACCTAATTTAAGGGCAATTATAGGCAATCCCCAGGTTATGAACCAGATCCATTCCTAAGTATGTCTTTAAGTTGAATTTGTAGATAAGTCAGAGTAGGTGCATATGGTTCTTACTAAGCCTTACTTTAGTGCTAGAAAGGGCTTGAAGGTTTTTCAGTTATTTAAAAGCTACATGTGCAGCAAGTGAAGGTGACTGCGATGAAGAATTTGATGCTGAGTCGGGGTAGGTTCAATCATCTCAAAGTGAGGGCAAATTTATATAACATTAAAGGGCAAGTAGGAGTTGTACATAAATCAGATGTTTGTAACCTGGGGACTGCATGTATACTTAAACATTCAAAAACGATTTGTCTCCCAAAACTTTTAGTGATCATAATCATCACCATCACTATTAAATTAACAACATTTCAAGACACCCAGTCTCTCTAGGTCTCAGGTTACTAGTACATAAGATGAGGGGGGTTATGGTTGATTATAGTTCTTTCCAGCTCTGAAACTATTTTAATCTATCTTAATATTTCAGATCATGTTGATGAAGGGGCATTCTTTAGCTCCTGCCTTTTCCTATCAATAATCCGTCTTCTTTCTGGCTTTTAACCTTTACCTTGGAGGCTTACAACTATTTAAAATGCTTATTGTTGAGCAACAAACTCACACATCCTTACACACAGAACCTGCTCTAGTAAAAATTATAAAGCTGGTCAATATTCTTGTCTTCTTTTCCAGCCTCTGCTTATCCCAAGATACCCATTCTGTATTTCTATAGACTTATATCCGTAACACTTCCTAATGTGTTGGTAATTGACAGCTGCTTAGAGTAGTCCCTTCTTAAAAATACTTATATTTTAATATGGGACTTTGGGAAATGGAAATTTCTTCAAAGGCAAAGAAATAAGTCTTTTAGGGTAGAATTTTCAGCTCCATGATGGGTGTTATATTTTAGGATTGGGATACCTGTCCCATGTTCTCATATTATACCCCTATAGGGATGAAATTCTCCTTAGGTCATTCCTACATAGACATATACTGAAAGTTCCTAGATTAAGACCCAATCCTATTCTGTACTTAGCTCTTGACTATAGCCATATTGATCTTACCTTTGTTTCGGTCCCTACATAAGATACCTATTAGAAGAGACTTACCTTATAAGAAAGTATGAAAAACTCTCTCATTGCCACTGGGTTCTTCTCAGATTGCACAGCTAAGTTCCAAGCTGAAATAATTAAGGAGGAAAATATACTGTTTAGTTTCTACCATTGCAATCTCTGCTACCTACATCTTTAATATTAATGTACTAATGAAGGATTTCTCAGGAGTTAAAAAATTAACTTCAGATTTTTAGAGAAGTTTTTCCAGGCAATTTAGAGACTCCGATCACTTCCTATCCTCAATTCTAGGCTAATAACCAATGGAGATAGTGTTTAATTTTTAAAACATGAGAGATATACAATAAGAACTCTTGACACAAATCCATTTAAAAATGAAGCTCACCAAGGAGCTCTCCAACTGGAAGCAGTGAAAAGAAGCTAAAATTTCAGCAAAGAACAGGGTATACTAAAAACAAAGATTGGAGAAAACTGCTGGGAAAATAAAAATCTCCCAAAGAGTAGTGGGAGCCTCCATTAGGCAACATTCAGCATGAGCTTCACCTTGGAAAATCAAAATTAAAATTCAGTAAAAGGAGTATTGTAAAGTAACTCTTCAATGCTTCCAACAGTCAGTGTCCTGATATCTTACTATAGCTTAAATGTTTCTTATTTTCCATTATTTGCATAAATTTCTTAGAAGTCCTATCACTTTATTCCCTTTTCTTGTAGATTAAAAACCCAGTAACCTCTATAAAGCAGAGAGTGGTCCATGTAGAACCAGTCTACTTTTTGACATTGTTGCATAATTTCTCTTGCTTATCACTGTAGTAATTGCCTCTATAAGTTGTTTTATTTCTTTTTTCTTTTTACTTTTTTAAAACTGAAATAGAACCTTATTATGGGTTGAATTGTGTCCCCCCAAAATATGTATTGTAAATCTTACCCTTATACCTGTGGATATAATAACATTTGGAAATAAGGTTTTCATTGTTATGTCAATGATGCTATATTAGTGTAAGGTGTGTCTTAAACCTAATCATTTCTGAGATACAAAAAGAACAGATTAGGCACAGAAGCAAGTAAGCACAAATGGGTGAAAGATAGATGCCACATGGAGATCTCCTAGGAGAAGAAAGCTGGGGAAACCGAGGCAAGGATTTGCCCTGAAGAGTCCACAGAGAGAGCCTTCCCCTAGAACTGACACCCTGAATTTGGACTTCTAGCCTCTGACACTGTGACAAAATAAATTTCCGTTCATTAAAGTCACTCAGTTGTATTTCTGTTAAAGCAGCATTAGCAAATGAAGACAAACTTATATAAATCACACAACTCTGATAATTGTATAGTCTGATGAATTTTCACAAAATGAACATATCAATGTAACCAGCACCCAGATCAATAAAGATCCTGGTCATTACAAGCAACCCAGAAGCTCCACCCCTATCCTCTTCAAGTCCAATCCCCCACCCCCTCCAAGGGCAAAAATTATCTTCACTTTTAATACCACAAATTAGTTTTGCCAGATTTTTTACTATATATAAATTCAATCATGCAATGTGTACTCTTCAATGCCTGACTTCTTTTGCTCCACATTATGTTTCTGAGATTCATCTATCTTGTTACATGTAGTTTATTTTTGATGAATCACATTTAGAGATAAATTGGGCATTCTAGGCCAAGTTTAAGAGCAGAACATTGCGTATCTGAAGTTTCAATTCATCCCTAATTTATTCATAGACCCATTTCTATAGAAAAGGAAGAAAACTACTATTTGAGTATGTGTCAGGGACATAAACTGTTTCATTTTAAACCCTTAATAACCCTATGAAGTATATATGATTTTTCCATTTTATAAAAATAAAACTGAGGTTAAGCAAGTTACCTGTGTACCCATAATCATGAATGACAGAGCCAGAATTTGAACTTATACCTATATGATTTCATTACCTCACAGTGTTGCTCATAGTTACAGAATTTCCTTTTACCTATTTTTCGAAACCAGTGGGCTTCGTTAGCCCTTGAGTCCGAAGTAAAGTTTTCTCCATCAAAAGGCTGAGCAAGTTTCAGGAATGCTACATCAAACAAAAAAAAAATGTGGAGCTGAGGTTTTTCAACTTGTACTCTAGCAAAGTTGTTAATTCTGCTTGAAAGTCAGTCACACATGAGTTTGAATTTAGAAGTTATTTATTTTCTGCATTTGGCCATACCAAAAGTTAATTTTTAAAAAAAGCATTACTAAGCTCTAAGAAGCTGTTAACTCTAACTTTGGGGAACAGTCATTGGAGATATTTATAATTTCAATTAGTGTAATCATTCACCACCTGAGATAGAAGGGTATGATTTATGTGTAAAGAAATAAAGAATAGGAAGAATCATTAAAAGACTGAAATGGAGAGTGAGAATGGGAAGAGTATCTATGTTGGCATAATATTTACTGAACTCCCTGTAGGTACTAAGCACAGTACAGAATCAGAAAGTGTCATCATCATCAGAAAGCATGTATTACATATCCACATGTACTTCTGAGAGATAAGACTGCCACAAGCAAAGTTTTCCCTTTTGAAAAAGTTTGGCTTCTAAACCAATTTGCTATGTTTGACACCCCATTCAAAGGTATTCTTTGAGATGTAAAATAAAAACTATTGTAATAAATAGAGTTTTACAGACCTAGAATCTTTGGGGGGGGATGTTTATTTATTTATTTATTTATTTTGCTATTTGAGTGAAAGTTTACAGAGCAAATTGGTTTTGTAACATTAGTTAGGATTCCTTCAATGTAACAGCATTCTTTCTGCTTCCTCCCTGGATTTTTATTTCCATTCGTCCTTCTTTCCTGCACCTTCCTGCCTTCTGAGCTTTGTTTTTGGGCAAATGCTGTTCTTTTGAGGAGTACATTCCTCACAAATGTTATTGTTCACTTTATAGGCCTGGCAGTGGGTTCACTTCTATTCTTGAAGGGTGTCTAAGGACCACAGTCTTAGAGGTTCTACCCGTCTCTATCAAACCAGTAAGTCTATTTATTTTTATGATTGTGAACTGTGCTCTACATTTTTCTCTCATTCTGTTCAGGACCTTCTGTGATCCTGATCAGAGTGGTTGGTATTGGTAGCTGGGCACCATCTAGATCTGATCTCAGGACAGTGGAGGTTGTGGTTCATGTGGTCTATCAGTCCTTTGGACTAATTATTTTGTTCAGTCTTTTATTTTCTTCACTTTTATTTCCTCCAGACAAGGATGAGACCAATAGTTGCATCTTAGATGGACACTTGCAGGGTTTTAAAACCCCAGTCACTACTCATCACAGTAGCATGTAGAACACTGTCTTTGTGAACTATGTTACACCAATTGACTTAGCTGTCCCCTGAGACCCTGGTCCTAATTCCCCAAGCCCAGTGACTCATTTTTGGTGTTTTTTACACAAGGAAAGAGGTACATGAGTAGTAGAAATGAGAAGACACATTAGGTAAAAGGGACACCATGAAAGAAAGTATGGAGTACAAAAAGGAATGCATTGTAGCTAGGGTTAGCTTGAATGAAGTGATAGGGAGGAGTTATTAATATATAGGTGAGATGATACAGACTTGGGTATATAAATGGACAGCTGCAAAATAGAGAGTAAACAATATGAATTTTATTTGGATAGCATGAAAAACTAGAAGAATTCAGAACATTTTTATTTGTCTTGGTCCTTTTCCATCAATTAAATATCTAGGTTAGGACCAAATGGCAATTGGAAGGAAGGGAAGGAGGGAGAGAGAGAAAGGGAAGGGAAGGAGGAAGGGAGAGAGGAATATGTCTTTAAAACAAATGGTAATAAATAGCCAAAAGATGGGAACAACCTAGGTGTCCATCAACTGAAGAATGAATAACCAAACTATGGTATATACACACAATAGAATACTATGCAACCCTAAAAAATAATGTAGAATCTGCAAAACACTGTATAACGTGGATTAACTTAGAGGATGAAGGACCGAACTGGCTACTCTAAACTTGGCTAAGATACCCTGAAACCTCAAAGAGGAATTTCACTTGCAGACCCCAAACCCTCCCCTGCCTTGTGAAACCTCAAAGATAAATTCCACCTGCAGACCCCACACCCTCTCCTACTTTGTCAAAAAACAACCCCACTTCCTGGAAACTGCAACTCTTGCAAAACCCCATGAGCACCAAAAGTCCTTATAAGCGGGGGCAACACTTCCCCAAGGTGTGGCTCTACTCTTCAACTGGCATTGTTCATGTTGCTCCTAGAGTTGTCCCTCACAGGCTTTTCTTCAATAAAGCCTGCTCCGATCTGTCGAGGTTGTGGTTATTTTCTACTCTTCTTACTTTCACTTTAACTTCTGTAATTCCACACTTTCTTAACAAGAGGTGCTGAAACCCAGGATGGGGTTGAGGCAGGGGATGTCACCCCTGGTCTGTCACCCTGTCTCCCCTTTTCCTCCTCTTACTTCTTTCCCTAGCCTATGGGTATCTCCAAGGAAACAAGGGTTCCCACTGAGCTCACTAATATGCTAAATGGCTGCCAGAAAGTGACTCAAAGCCTCCCTCTCCCTGAGAGTACAGCTTTTGCAGCCTCATTGCCACATGAGCGGTACAAGGGCTATAACAGTCCTTTATTGGATACCCTGGTAACTCCCTAGAGGAAGTCAGAACCCTGGGCTAGGACTCACTACCTAAAAACCTCCAGATCTGGGGACATTTGCCATTTCTTGCCATACAAACAACACCGACCATTTATCAGTCCTTCTCAGGGCCCAGGTAAGACCCCTTTGTCACTCCCTCTCATCCTCTCTTCCCTATTCGATTTCTGGTCCTCTGCAGAGGCTCCCTGCAGTGAACCTCTGGTGTTTTACCACCATCTGGACTCCAGGAGTCCCCCTCTTCAGCGAAGGTTTGAGAGATGTCCCCCTTCCCTGAAAGGGCTCAACCTTGCATGGCGAGTCAGTGAGGATGCTCTCTGACACACCGGAGCCCCAGCTTTTCAGCCCTCTCCAACTCTCCTTTTTCTCTCTTGTCCTCTCTTTCTCCCATTTTCCCAGGCATTGGAGCTGGTCCGTCTGCACCACCACCCACTTCACCCCTCAGGTACCTTCTCCAAAACCTCCAAACCTTATATCTGGCCCTGGACATAAAACCCCAAATTCTCAACTATCCACTCACATATGACCTCAATATCAATTACATAATGGTACTCAATGGCCTGAATTTGGAACATTAGATCCAAACATCTTACAAGATCTGGGTAACTTCCTTCACCGAAATGGCAAATGGTCTGAGGTTCCCTTTGTCCAAGCCTTCTTTTATCTCCGCTCTCGACCTTTGGTTTGCAAATCACGTTCCCCCCTTCCAACTCATACTTGCTGATACTCCTTTCCCAAAAACTTCTAAGAAACTTACCCCATGAGATGTCCCCTCCATTTCCCCTTTGGCCCCAACTTTCACTGATTCTGACCCAGCAGATGACC